CCACAACCTTCCTATTTTAGTAGTTGTTACGTACTCCTGCCCTTGTTTTGGGTTCACACAACCCCAGCACCCACATTCGAACTTTTCTTCTTTCCCGGATTCTTTATCGGTCTCTCCCTTACTTCCAGCCGGCAACCCGGAAGGGTTGGTTCATCTAGACTTTAGATGTCTATATGGTTTTCCTTCCCTTGGTACATGCTTCCAGAACACATGTCCTTTTCCTCCAGTTTAGTGACCCGGCGGTTTGGCTGGTATATCCCCCCACTTAAGGATCTGGTCGCTTGGTTCTCCGATCTCAGTTTCCGGTTCCAAATTCGGTCTTCCTGTAGTACTGTCAAAGATTGCACTACCTCCCAACTCGGAACTTGCCAAATGGGTTTTCGGTTCTTCTGGTATCTCAAATTTATTACACCAAAGCTCCCATTCTAGATGGTGTAACTGAGATTACAGATTTCTAGATCCTATCGATCATTGAATAGCCGTTAACCATATCACAGAGCTATTTTTCGAAAACGTTATCTGTGGGTAGGGTTGGGGGCATGACAAATTTTTGGGGCATGCCTCAGGGGGCATGCCTTTGTAAAGGGCATGCCTCTTTATACCCCAGGCATGCCCCTCTGGATATAAAAAGGATTCAATCAACTCACTGACAATTACCAACAAGTTCATTTCACCGAAGCTTATTTTACAGTCAAAAGTAATTCTGGCCAATATCATTAGGGTTATAAAAAAAAACTTGTTGGTGAAATAAGCTTCAGTAACTAGACTGTCAGTAAAATAAACTTGTCAGTGAATGATTGTTAATGAAATAATATGGATAATAAAAGTATATATGTATTATAATAAGATATATTTATATTCTAATTGGTTATTCACTAAAATAGCCAATCATATATTAGCTATAGATCACATGACAGGGGCATGCCCCAGGGGCATGCCCCATGGGGCATGCCTCCAACCTCCGTGCCCCCAACCCTACTTTTAATACCAGTTATTTTATTTCGCTAAATTTTGTAAATAAATACACTTTTCCTAAAAATTTTTATATGTGCAACTCAGATGCGCCAGAATACCTATCGCTTTCTTAAATACAAATTTACAGTTTGCATATTTCATATAATTATCTATGCAAGATTATTTGTAATCACGAATTCTGGCTTTAGCTAAATATGACTATGAAACGTACTCAATTAAAAATTCAATCTAAAGCATTAATTTATATTGTTAGGAAAAAAATTTAGATTGATTATTGAACGATTTTAAACCCGTTAAAACCGTCTTATCAAGATGTCGTCTTGGCAGTAAAATCATCTAAAACAAATCAGCGGATCAAGTGCTAAAAACATTTATATTGTTAATTGTAACTAGTTGTAATTATATAAACTACAAGTTTTTAGCAATTGTGATATAACCAATTAAAATGAATAGAGATATACTATAAAATAGATAGGCTAATAAATCTTAATTTTATGAGAAATTGTTAATTAGGCAAAAAAGATTATTCTTTATATACATGTAAATTCTATATTAAATTTTTACAATATACAAAAAAACAAAAAAAACAAATAGCATGCATATAAACTAACACACGTCAAAAGGTTATGGTTTTTCTTTAAGATATAATTAATATACAAAAACTTCTAAGTGTGTGCATTATATTAAGATAATATTTGTGTACCTATCTTCGAACAACAATATTCACAAAATCTTGAATTTCTGTCAAATCCATGTCGAGTGCAACTCGAACAAAAGATACCACCACAAGTTTTACAGTGAATTTTTCTTTCTGAGACAAGAAAAAGAGAAATAATTAGCTTTAATTAATATAGGAAAAACTAATACAAGTAACAAAAAATAAATCACCTAATACGGCGAATTTTACGGTGCATTTCAAACAATTGTCAGTTTGTCCATCTTGCATCCAATGAGATTCTGTTTTTGTATCTGGTAAGTTCCATGAATAAACTTTTCCAGATGAATCTCCGCTATAAAGAATTTTTTGATTTCTATAATTTGAAATTTTGATCAAGTATGATAGTTTTTTTAGGATACAAAGACAAACATCAAATAAGCAATAAATGTTAATTTAAATTACCCAGCTGGAAACAAAGCAACAATATCTGCTGTGGGCGCAGGTGATGATGGTTCGATTCTATTTTCATGTTTTAACTGATGCCGCAATTCTAAATTCCATTTACACGCTGTAAACAGGATTAATTATAACTTAGACAAAATTATATTAAAGTAAATTAAATTAAATTAATCATGAATTTCGTACTTTTATTACCAGTTAAATCTTTATTGGTTTTCAAATTTTTATTCCATATCTAAATTTATCAATCAATTAATAAAACTTATAAACTATTACATAAAATATTAATAGATAAACATGCCTTTATTACACCCTTTTTGTGTCCAGTAATAATAATGTCATTATCGAACCATTCATTTTGCTTGCCCTAAACATTAGGTACAAGTTGTAAAATTA